CCCTGGACAAGACTTTTGGTGGGACTGGAAGTCCTGCGAAAATTGCTGAACAAGAACAAGAAACCATCTTGCACAACTCGACTGCATCGTCTAAATAGAACCATACTGCAGAAAAGACCCAAAACACAGTTCCAGCTGATTTTTTTTGCACGACAAAATAAAGCTTCGTACGGCAAATGTCGTCAAAACTGTCCTGCAACACTTTGCAGGGAGGTACTTTAGCATCGAATGTAATGCTGAGATCTCGCTCTAGAAAATTACCACTTGCCCTGGACTACCGAGAGTCATATGAACGGCGTTTATTTCAGCGGAGACGATCTCAGGCACTGGTTAGGCGACCTCTTTGGGTTCAGACTCTGGGCTTCTGTATAACTTAACTAAAAATATGATGGGGAGATGTCAGGCGGTTGCGCGCAACCATGGAGCATACATTAGTGACTGACTTTTGACAAATTCCGGTCATTTTGTTAGATTATAAAAACTCTACGAACTTATGAAATGACCTAATTTTTCGAGGCTGCAAAGCACAGTCACTTAGCTCAATCAGGGGATGGAGAACGGTGGAACGATATCCCACAGTTGTCATTCTGCTGAGCCGTTGCCTTTGAGTTGGTGACCTCTCGAAGAATCGCGCCTCTTGACCGTCTCACATAATAACCCACCTGAATGTATGCAGTGTCTTCCACGTAGTCTACCATTTTGTCACCTTCGAAAACTCTCTCACATCCGCTCGCGTAAAATATCACGAAGCTGATGACGACAGATCCAGCAAGAGATCCAACGAGGATCAACCGTATAGTCTTTCTGAATGAAGTGATAATGAACCATGAGGCTTCCTCCGTTTGTTTTGTATGAAAGTAAAACTCACAAATTCATGATTGTCTCATAAAGACGCGGAGCAGAAAAGGCAGCATAGCGATTCAGTCCCAGAAAGAACATAAGAACCGTGGAAAAGTAGGAGATGATCAGATCGACCAGCATTGACGCACTGCTGGCGCCTGATGAGTTCAGGCCCAGAAGTACAACGCCGACTAGATCGAAGAGTTGAGTCAAGCTGTTGACCACCATAGTCACCACGAATACAGCAATTATAGTGTAGAACGAACTCTGAAACTAATTGAAATTATTATAGAAAAGTAGAGCACTCGTTAAACTTCAAGTTCCGTTTTTTAACCTGGAAATTGTCTCTGAACTTGTTGTGCCATACAGAATAAATCTACCAATCTATCTAAATAAATAAATCTACCAACATAGCAACCCGAACGGCACAATAAATTCGAAGAAGGGCAGTGCTTGCAATCCACTCCTTATCATGGTAGGGCGGCCTCTCTGCATTCGTTGCAATATTAGGTGCATTTGAAGGCAGTGGCTCGGCAAAATGGACCCCTTTCAGATTATAATAGTGTTAGGGAGTAGGCCGTCCAAGTACATTATAGCCTCGACTTACCCTCCAACTCATACGTTAAGACTGCGTTCATACTGAGTCAGATGTTCTGGAACTGTTCCCGCACAGTT